TATATATATATATATATATATAAAGAGTTCATATTCAGATTCCTTCCCGCAGTGAATTGGTATAAAAGAAGTGATCCAGAAAACTTACTAAAACAATTATGGTATGGATTACAAATGGTAATGCCTTATAAAGCTAGAAACCAACAGAGTCTGGAGCATAGTAGTAACAAACAATCATGGGTACAGTTATAAGAGAGGAAACTCACTGGATCACTTCTATAAAAGACCAGCGAGTTTTCTGTTAGAGTGAACCACCTCTTCTTCCATGATGTCCAACCAATTCCTATTGCAAAAGAAATCAGAAACATCTAATTTTATGATAATGAAAAATCTCTCTTTTTTCTTGCTTTCTAATAAAAATATAAAACATTTGTCAATGTTCACATAAACCTAATTATCAAATATACATTTACATGAACCTCGTGACACATATTCTAAGCATAAACATTACAAAGTACTCCCTTAAAATAATGTGATACAAGACTTTAAGTCATATAGAACAAAAGAAAGCATATCTATCTAGAAATACAACTTAATGAAATATAAATACTTTTCTTGTCAATAAAGAAAAAAAAGAGTGGAAATATTAAATCAATAAAAAAGAAGGTTTTATAGTCCAAAGATATTTAATAAGACCGCATGCAGAAAAATAAAATAACAATGATATTTTAGCTAATGAGAAAAGAACTGAGACGCCATCCTCAAAAGTAAAAGAGGAATCTGCATTAAATGATATACAGCTGAACGTATCTGTAGATAAATCAAAATAATATATATCAAAATAAATGATATATATGGCACTGCCATTTCTTGTTGTCAACAAATACATCACTCAAAACTATTACTACAGGAGGGTAGCTTCAAGTATGGCATGGCAGGTTTAAATACAAAGACCTTCTTGTGGAAGATGCTTTCTTTTGGTTCTCAAGGAAGAACAACAGAAACTGAACTTATCATGGTTCCTTTTTCTTTTATTTTTTCACTTTTTGTTGATGAAACTTGACTGAAAGCGTTATTATGGGTCACCATAGTAGGTTGTGTCAAATAAAAAGGTAGCAAGACCATGTTATTTGTGCAGCCAAGAGTAGATCGTGCACCTCACAAGCAATAATACAAAGTGAAGGCTGTAAAGCAAGCAAATTCAGAAGTCCATATATTTAAGACAGAGATCATTAACCCTCAAAATTTTCCTTCTTCATCTATCCCATTTTTACGAACCCATTTAGTTTGCAGCACTGGGTTCAATCCATCTTTTTTCTTAATTTTTTTAACGGCAACGGCCAAATATACCCGTCTACTATGAGAAAAGGTTTAAATATACCCTTCGTTATATTTTGGGTCTAAATATACCCTTCTTGTAATACTATTGGTTCAAATATACCCCTCTTCTATTAAGTTTGTCCAAGGTGGACATCCAATCATACGTGATACTATTGTCACATGGCATACCACCTCAGTGCCCCTAATCCATATATAAAAGACTAAAAGTTGAAATACAATATTTTTCATGGTAGCGGTATGGTGGCAATAGTGGTGGAGAGGAAGAAAATTTTAATGGTGGAGAAAAAATAGAAGGGAGGGAAAAAATGGTTAGAGGCGCTGAGGTGGCAAGCCATGTGGCACTGACAAATGAAGAATATGACTTTTAAATCATAAGCAAAAGCTAGACGCAGGAAGAAGAGAGGAGTGATCAAGACCATTTCCTAAGTTTATGCCAAAATTCAGGATAGAAGTTGGAAGACTGACCTTTTGATGATAAAAATAGAGGGCCACTCTTGTAAACCTGCCAAGAGAATTTTCAGTTCAATAAATTTAACTTCATCAAAAAAAAAAAAAAAATCCAACAAATCCCGTTGTTGTCATCCATACAAGGTATATCAACTATAAATTCTACCAGTGCTTGAATATTAGTAATAAGAACATTATAAAGTGAAGTACAAGCTATTTAGGCTCGATAGAAAAGCAGCAATTCTCCCTATGGTTAATAAATACAGACTTATAAAAGAAATTATCTCTTTCATAAAAAGTAATGCCCGTGACATAATGACAGAACAATAACTTAGAAGATGCACTGATTGCTCTCATTACATTCTTTGTTGTGCAAGAGAGCTACCATCAAATGGACTAGGCTTTATGCAAACACTAGAATAAAAGCTAAGTATATTTTTTGCCGCAAAGAACGAGTATCAAGGACTAATTATGCTTATAATCACTTTGACCCAGAAAATCCAGAACAAGAAAATAGAGTCTTCTCTAGTATATGAACCGTTACGCACAAAGAGTGGAAATGTATTAAGAGTTGTAAACAGAGTTACCTTATTCCCAGAATGCAACTGTGCTTGGTCATTCGCCGCAGGTGGTGCAGGCGGCTGACTACCCACTTCTACCTGAAAACAGAAAAATGTGAGTTAACCCAAATCAAGGAAGAATCATAATATCCATGAAAATTCAAGTTATGAAATATTTAAAAAATGATTATTACCTGGGGAGCGTCAGCATTTTGAGTAGTCATGGTCTCGGCGTGAATAAGGTTCGCATTCGCTATCAACAACACAAATTATCCTGCATTGGGGACAATCACATTCAAACCCATATTAAACGAAATGGTAAATACGTGATATCAAAATGAAGATAATACTTTTTTTCTGCAGCGATGAACGAGAAATAATACATGTGTACTTTCTTACTTGCTTTGAATTTAAAATATTTAATTTGGCCTTTTCTTTTTGGGTGTGTAAATGAGGGGAAGTGGAAGTGACAACGACGTCGCATTTGGAGGACTTTTTTGGTAACGGAAAACCGAAAGTCAAGCAAAGAAGAAAGGCATTGGAGAAAGACAAACGCCAACTTTAACGGAGCATCCCCGGGGAGACCTTTTCTTATTGTTTTGCTGACACGTCGCCCGTATATGTCTCTTCCTATTTTGCTGTCTGAACATATGCACCTTGTTTTGGAGGCAATCCTTCTCCCGCTCATTTCTTGAAATAGCCCTTTCTTGGGGCTACTTTTTTAATTTTGTTTCTCTTTTAAAAAGATTTTAATAAAATTAGTCTCTCGCCACGTGTTTATTAATTTATACAATATATATTTTATAAATTAATAGTAATATTATTAAATAAAACTTTAGATAATGATATATACATGAAACAATAATTAAGTATAAGCTTTTATGAATCATGAATGTGGATCATTATCCTCTGAACTTATGAAGATGAACAATCAAATTTTTATAAGATAATTTCTTTTACTTATTTTAATATAATAAAGTATAAATATGTATGAAGCGTATTTTGAAGATGATCATCACTTTAATGGAATGTCTACCCTATAATTTATAGAAATTGGACTATATGAAAGGTAACATAGAAAAAGTAATAAAAAGATAATAATGAAGCTAAGAAAGCACAACGTATTTTGCGGTTCTACTTGTGTCGTGTTTTTAATTCTTTTTTGTAGTCATAGCACTTCTCATACAAGTTTCTTTTTAATCCATCACCTATGAAGAGATATTTATGTTGCAACAAAAGAAAATCAACACTGGATCAAAATCAGCGATTGGCGATGAATTCCCTATGCATGTGATTATTAAATTTTATAGTGAGAAGATCAGGTTATATATCCTTTTGTCATAGGAAATAACTATCTCTCTGGTAAATGACATGAAGAGGAAGATTCTAACCGGAAAAATGTTCATGACATTATCACGGTAAAAGGTGAAAAGGAGAAAACTAACTATATACAAAAATAAAGAATTAGAATGGAGATTGGATTACTGGGAGCAGGGGAAGCAGTTAACTACTTTGAGAAGCTTTTTTCTGCAGAAGGAGTTTCTCATCTTCAACACCTACACAATGCATTAATCAGATTGTAACTCAAGCAGATAATGATGTTCTGACAGCATCCATGATAAAGAGAAAATTAAAAGAGCTATTTTTTACATGGATCCCAATAGTGCTCTTGGACCAGATGGATATGGAGGGGCATTCTTTTAAAGCTGATTGGAAATTATAAATTTTGACCTAACTAATATGGTACAGTTATTCTTCGATGGCTCTAGACTTTCTAAGTTTTACAGTAACACATATTTATTTGTAATTCCTAGGGTGAAAAGTCCTTCGTGTTTTTCTGAGTTCAGACAATCAATCTAAGTAATTATTCTAATAAGATTATTCTACGATTATGAGCTCCATATTAGCCCCTATCCTTCCGAAGCTCATCTCTAAAACCAAAGGGAGTTTGTTCATGGAAGGTTGATAACCAAAAAGTTTTGTTAGCTCAAGAGATCATACATGGGATTAAAAGGAAAAGAAGATGAGGGAATGTAGTCCTTAAACTCGACATGTCAAAGCTTATGACAGAATGAATTGAAACTTCTTGCTGGTAACACTGAGGAGATTTGGGTTTGCAGAATAATGGATAGACTTGGTATGAATATCAATAGTTAATATGTGGTATTACATTAAGAAGGGGTTCTTTCACTCTACTGGGGCGGTGAGACAGGGATCCATTATCCCCTTCCTTGTTTATCTTGGGGCCAAAGTGTCACTCCCCAACTTGGGGAGGCGTGGCTGGCACCCGGTGTCGTACTGGCCCGAGCGAACCACTCTGTAAATCATGATCGTTCGATGAAAACTAGAGCATACATAGGCTGACTTGGCTGAACTTATTCTTCTTGTAACTATCATGGGCCAACATGGCCACAACTCATAAGGTATGAATGAAAGTGAGCAAATGCTGTAGCAGCGAACCATCATAATCAGAACATGAATACACACAGGTCGTCAAGGCCTCTGATATACTGTACATAATGAACCTGTGTCTACAAAGCCTCTAAAAGTATATGACATCAAAATATGGTCAGGACAGGACTCTAACCCATAAGTATATATATATATATATATATATATATATATATATATATATATATATATATATATATATATATATATATATATACACAAACACACACAGGATAGTCTGATAACCTCTAGAATCGGCTGCAGTCCTAATGAAATGGAGCTTTGCCAGTCATCAGCTGGATATCAACTCTGTCTATGACATGAGCCTGCCAAACTGGATACCTGAACCTGCAGGCATGAATGCAGTTCCCCGACTATGGGACATTAGTACAAAAAAATGTACTAATTATGTAAGGCAGATAACATATGAATAACTTAATTAAACTGAACTGACATGTATATATGATATACTGAAAGTAATGAAATCTTGGAATCATACTTACCTTATTTTGACTTGTAACACATCTAAGTATTGAACTATCCAACTTACCTTACAAAGGATGTAGACCAAAAAAGGAAGGCTTCGTTGGCCGAGAACATCTAATGTTGTCTGTTGGTCGAGAACATCTAATGTTGTATATACATCTAATTCGTGTCGTTTTATACTTCAACTTGTTCCTATATGCTATATGTACTGGAAACCATTATATTATGGAACTTTATCTATAACATTCTTCTATCCATCATACCTTATATCTGAATACTTACCTCGGACAGATCAAACATCTCTTGGGCTACACTGAAACATAATAGTCGCACTTACGCGTTTCCTAAGAGATTGTCCGTAAGGCTCACTCATAAACATGAATAACCAGTGGCTCGTACGCGTAACATAGTAGAATGTCCGTACGGCTCATAATACTTAGGTTTGGCTATGCGTGCAACTGAGACCGTCCATAACCAACCGTCATTATGCACCTCTGCGTTCATAGACCGTCCATAGGGCTTCACTGTACACCTATGCGTTCATAGACCGTCCGTAGGGATCATGTCTTGTACCATTCATTTCATATCACTCATGCAGACATCATTCAATCATCAACAGATAAATTCGTATTCATAAACATACAAGTTCGTGACTAACTCGTTACAGTAACTAATCCTTATTCCTTAGCCACTTTCTACGTCATCCTTCGTATTCTATATTATTTAGCCATAAAGAACGTTATAACTATTATTAAATCGCACTTCTATCCTTATTTCACATCATGACTCATTTTTGGGGATTACATGATTCTTACTGCTTATAGTTATGTAATATTCATATATATATATATATATATATCCATTCATCAATATGTAACAAGAGTTGCGGGATTTACGCTCTATCAACTTATATTCTTATTGCTAAGCTTATCATATACTGTAGTTGACGACTCCTTAGGTAACATATATCATCACTTAACATCACCCTCATATATAATCAATCTTACTTAACTTGAGAGCAACGTAACTACCTTCGTGGGTCTCTATCAGTTTTGTGAACACAAACGTGTAACTATCGGAAGTCATGGAATTCGTTAGGTCAAATCATTCTTATCTTTATGCAAACTATATATTTTGCTACCTTGTTGAACTATTTGTATATAACTATCCCTCATTATTCAGACACTATATTGCTTCTGATTCGTCAGACCATTCGTACGTAATATTTAATTAACATCTAAATGGCTTGTTACATATAAAATACAAGGACCTTTCGGAAGGCTCTATTTACTCCTTAAGGATACATGAAACTGCGACCAATACAATCCATTCAACATTCGTATGACTATACTCGTGAACGGGCCTTAGTCGTTGGAATAGTACATTTACTAGGGGTGGGTATAAAATTCGAAAAACCGAATTCCGAACTGAACCGAATTAATTTGGTATTTCGGTTTCGGTATTTTTCTATATTTCGGTACAGAAATTTCGGTATTTCGGTGATTCGGTACGGTATACGGTATTGGGTTTTTGATATTTCGGTATACCGAAATACCGAAAAAATTTAGTCCAAGCCCAACTTTATCTTTATTTTTTAGCCCAATAGTTACTTGTCTTATTGATTACATTATTAAATCCAATGTATTCCGTCCTCATATTCTGCAAAATATTTTTTTCTAACATAGATAATTTCTTCCTAAATACTAATTCAAGATAAAAAAGCAACATCTTATTACTCTATTCGAAATTAAAGAAAACTTGTGTAATTATCTAATAAGGTCTAAATCGACATTTTAACTTGCTTTCAGACACAACACATGCTTGATTAACTTACTGAACTTCAACAAAAGGTACATACTATACAGTATACTCATTCCTAAGAAATCAAGATGATATTGCTAATATTCAATTTTGTAAGGCTTTGTAAAATCCTAGACGATTTTACTACCATCCTTGCAACAATGAAGTGAGAGGCTTAACCGTATTATGCTACCACTGAACATAGTCATGTGTTAGCACAATGATCAACATGAATTATATTAGTTAATGGAGTGTGGTTGGAGATAGTGAAGATTTGGTTTAAACCGAAACCGTACTTAACCAAAATAAGAAATACCGAACCGTATCGAAATATTTTGGTACGGTATTTGGTATACACAATTGATAAACCGAATACTGAAATACCGAACCGAAATACCGAATGCCCACCCCTAACATTTACAAAAGAGTTGCCCCCTTGAATTCCTTATAAGGGCAAGGTGACTTAAGGAATCACGCCAAATAAAAGAAAAGAAGACCTTACATACCTCGTAATATCTAGTCCAATCCTCAATATAACATAACCTGCAGCTCCTTTATCTACAAGCAATGAACAATACTATCATCACAATATGAATGCCATAACTTATCGCATTTGAACGACACACTTTATTCTATGATAAAACGGACATCACCTCCCTTGTTTATATGACTTCCCACAAGTTACAACAACCAACAACAGCCCAAACAACATCAACAATACTCATAATAAGCCTTTCAAAATAATTTAACAAT